TATGTGGACGTGACCAGCAGCTACCTTCAACTATTTGTTTCAAGAGAAATCAATTATTTGTCAGACATCCACTGTTTCCCTGAAAATAAACATAAAAAAAACCCCAAAAAACTCCACCTACCTTTTAATTTTATGAGGCAAGCAGACACGGAGCTACATCCACGTGTCCCAAGCCAGCCACTCTCCAAATCTGTGTTCAATCAGTGCAATCAATCTATTCACTTTGACACCTTTCAGTCATCGATGCCAAACAGGATTTAAACCATCAGGCAGAAACCTTGATTTAAGACACTGATTTTAAGCTTGATTTGCATTTGTGTTTACTTTAATTAAAGATCATTAGCTTTCATTAACTGGGATAGCCATTAAAATAGTAGAAAACTGCAGGTAATCATCACTGTCAAAAGAATCCTAACTCAATAAAAACACATTAATAAAATGAAATGAAAAATGGATGTTTCATCACTTGCTATCCTGACATTTTTTTCCTCTCAAGATTTGGGGCAGAACACAGGGACGTAAATTAAACTAAATGAAAAACGACAAAGCTACCTTAGGCATATGGGAGAGCAGATAGGTTTCAAATTTAAGATTGATTAAATAAATCAGTTGTGGTTTCCAGGGGGTTAGATCTCTTCATTCCAAAGCCCTAAAAGCAACTGGCTTTGCTCAAAGCATTGCTATTTTAGAACTAAAGGCTTAAATAACTCTTCCTGTATTGCTGTTCAGCATCTTGTTTATATGAAAGGAGTTTAGACACCCATCCTGCTTATACAGACACCACTGAAAATATTTGCATTTCTGTATTTTGTCACCTAAATATTATTTAAATTGTAGTCCCAGAGTACAAGGTTTCTCTGAGCCACTCTCCCCTCCACCTATTTCTTAACATCTGAGCAAAGGGAAAAAAACCCAAAACCTTTTGGGTAGTTTTCTGGCTCTCTGAAGTAAAATAAGTTCTTTGTGCACACTTATTAACAAAACTGAAATCAAGAACATTGTAGAGAAACGCATTTGTGCATAAAAAGGAGAAACTGAAATACCAGCACTGACTCCACTATAAAGGGATGGGTACTTAGCACATTACAAGATACTTTAGCATCCCAAATTTGAGCTGATAAATGTTAAAGTTGCTTCCCAAATTCAGAAAAACATTAAAATAGCAGAATTCTTTAACTGAAGTGTGAAGTTCCAGAGACAATGGGTTTTCAACAAAGCACAGAAAAATTTTAATACTTTCTTTTGCTTTCTAAACACCTTAAAATATATTAAATTTTTAGTTTTAGAATTGGAAAAACTAAAAATGGTAACAGCGAACCTTCAACACCCATTCAGATTTTCTTAATCAATTAGAATTTGCTATTTACTGCTGTGGAACAAGAACCCAAAAGGTGTTTTAATTTTTCTTTTTTTTTTTTTGAAAGAAGAGGGACCTCAATTAGTCACAAGGGTCACAGCAATTTCTTGCTTTTTTTAGGCTTTATTTTCAGAAGCGGTCCAGGAGCGTATGAAAAATTACAATCAAGACTTCTGTTGTTAAATCACTTCATCTCTTTATAAAATTCCAGAAAAAGCACATGAACTAAAAAAAAGACTATTTTTTTATTATCATTCATCCCAGGAAAAAAAGCTTCTTTTGAAACCTTTCAGTGAGTATAATGTCAAAAAAAGCCTCTGGAAGTTGCTTCACTGATCTGGCTTCTCGTCCATTTGAACATCTAATTGCCAGGGGGGAACCTTTTTTAATTTGCACTTGATCAACATCATAGTTGACAATGACAAAAAATGCTTAATATGAGTCAACAGCCAACTACAATTTAATCCTCAATAAGAATCTATTTTTGGCAGAAAGTTCACCTTTCTTTAAAATCACTCTAACTGGGAGTTTAAACCATCTTAAATTTACTTTAAATGCTGTTCATAATGAAGATTAAATCTTTTCATACCTGAAGCAAAGCCATTTCTGTTCACTGAGGGTTTGAATTCTTCAAAAGACTGATGTTAGACAGGCAAATAGCAGACAGAAAAGCCAATTTTCTCTTAGAATTTAAGTAAGACCTTGTCCATCTCCTTGAGTAACTTGTCTCTATTTTTCCAACCAGTGGCAGGAAAATCCATTTCTATAGCTGATGTCTATACTCTTGATCTCCACATGCTTCATCCTTGCCATGACACATTTTGATCATCCTTCTAGGATGAAAAAAAAATGTACTGCTTTCCTCAGTGTACAATAAGACACTGCATTTTTATCATTTCCAGCCTTGTAAATGGCACAGGCCATTACAGAACAGCCTGCCTGAAAAAACAGGACACAACATTCATGTATTTTGTTAGAGGAGACCTACTTTTTATGGTTATCAGCTACGGCAAGACTTTCATTACATTAAAATAAGAAACTAAGGACAAAGTAGCTTGAAAACAAAGTAACTTCAGCGTAGCAGTTAATTTTGAGCAAACAGGGTGACAAGCCCACGCTTGGGACTGTCAAAAGCGGAAATTATAGTTCAAAGGTTGATCCAGGGCCACTGGGGAAACCGGCAGCGTGCAAGGAACTCTAACAGAGGGAAGTTGTACAAACCTCGTACATCCTTCTTGGAGATCCAAGATCGGCATGAAAGAGTAGACTAAGGGTTTGAGATCAAGTTTTGACAACTTCCATGCTGAAGCACTGCCCCAAATCAGTATCAGTTTCCATCACCAAACCCCCCAGTCAATACCACAGCACACTTACATTTCTTCCTTCCCACCCTGACTGCTCACTGTCCTCATTCTTTCCTACTTTGTTTTTCACCGCTACCACTTGCAGTCCAAGGCTGCACTCCTTGATTATCTGCAACAACACAAGATGATTCCTCATGATAACAGTACCTCCCTCAGCACAGCTGAGTGTCCACAGGGGGTTACAGAAGAGGGAAATGGTGCAATAATCCCACAGGTTTCTGCTTCCAAAAGACTCTTCAAATTCTGATCGGGGTGTAAACTAGAAATGTGTGTTCCACTCCATGACACACCCCCCCCCACCCTCCCTACCCCCAGCAATGTGAGATCACAGCTGATGGAAAGACAGGCTTTTGGCTGCAAGAGCAGCTATTCTTTCCCTCTGCTGCCAAGGAACAGGGATGGTGAGCAGATGTTGTTGATCCAGATTAAGATGTGGTGTTGACGCTATATAATTAAGCTTACACAATATGCACCTATATCATGCCTGGCTCTAAGAGAGCTGCTGCACTTCCACACTTCTACCAGTACCTTTAAAGTTACCCCAAAACAGGCAGCAGAGAGTTCACCTGCTGTTAGCAGGTAGGTAAGATATCCCCTCAAAACTGAACCAAAGTTCACAGCTATTTCCACAAACACATATATTGTTAAAACTATATAGGTAGGAAATAAATCCTGCTATTTACTTCACACTTTTTATTATAAGAACTATGACGTTTGTTTTTAAGGCTCAGTGACAAATCCTGTTTGGTACATCATCACCTTATTAAAAACCTGTCACACGTGCAGAGAACACTAAGTTATATTAAATATGCTGTTAACTTGCCAAAATACAGTCTGCTGCTTTCCACCTAACGCTGCAGCAAAGATGGCACATTTCCAAGGGGTGGGAAACAAACACCCTCTCCTGTCCTTGTCAAAGCTCCAGATCCAGTTGAAACTCTAAATACAGTAAAAACAGGTAGGGTGTGTCAGCCACAGAGGCAACACATTGGAAACTCAGTCCTAACCCTCCATTCCAGATCCACATACATACACCAGTTATTGGGATCTGACTGCCACCCAACTGCAGTAAGTAAAATAAATGGAAACAGTCATTTAAAATACTCCATTTATCCAGGTATGAAAGAAAGGCTAGACTCATGTTGAACAAGAAGGCAGTTCAAAAGCAAAAATTAAAAAAAAGATACTTCAAAGTGACAGATATTGGTAAAGGCAGAAATTACAACTTTTTGTCCATTAATCAAAAGGAGCACAAAGTTCTTTTGCACAGAAGGGGAAGATCTGACAGCGCTCCCAGTGCACTGTGTAGTTCATGCCAACACAGTCACACACAATATTGGTGGTTTCAGTCATCAGTAAATGACTTGCAATAGTAAAGAAATGCCAGAGTCGGATCTTTAAACATCTTGGAAGGGAATATATTCATATTATCACTTGAGCATTTCCCCTTTGTGCTATTGGAGGGCAAGTGTAGAAGCCCAGTGTTATCTCCAGTAATTAAAATACCGTTCAAAGGGAAACCTTTGCATGACATTTTAGGGAATTAAGATTTCAGCTATAGACTGAAAGCATGTCAATGCCGCTCTCTACTCCGTACCAGGCTTCTTCAGAAGATACAACAAATCCAGTATCTTCTGTCAGCAGGATTCCAGCATGACCTGTTACTCTAAGCATCAGTAAAGAAAGTGAAATTGACCTTTCATCTCTCTAGGTGTATGAGTGGTTATACACATACATATCATTCATATAGTCTCGCTATCTGCAAAGCTCAGTGAGTTAATCCTTTGGTTTATACTCATCCACCTATTTCAGGAAACAACTTCAGCAAATAGATATACCCTTTGCTTGTTCATTTAAGGTTTTTTTTAATATGAAGAGAAATGGAAACTTCTGATTAACCACAGGTGACTGATTAACTACATTAAAGTCAACTGGATTTTCAGCATTTTCTGGGCCGTTCACACTTTCTTAAAAAAAGCCTCAGTGCTCAAGTCTTTAAACAGTTCATCCAATAAAGCTGATGTTGTATACAAGGTATTACAGATGCATCTCTCAGCTGCAGCTGAAAGCTGGCAAGATTAATCTCCTTTTGCCCAACATCCCAAGCCTTGCAGGAAAACAAAACGAAAAAGAATGAAGAACCTCAGGTCTTGACAAGCAAAGCTTCTTCCATTGGTCTGATTCAAAACACAAATGTTACGTTGGTTTCAACAAACGAGTCCCATCTATGCACCATGAAATAATGATGAAAAAAGTATGATGCAAAGTTTCTTAAACAGTCACCCAAAATATAAAGAAAGCATACAGAAGCTTGATGCAAAAAATCCAGAAACAGTCCAGGGCAGCGCTTGGGTATCACTAAAGATTTAAGGACTACTGGGGATTATGTGGCCAGCCACAAACTGTCTCGTAAGAGGTCACGACAGTGTTCTCTGCTGCTAAGATGAGTGAACAGACTGCCATTCCCCATTAGAGGCTTATTGATCAGTTCAAAAAAAAAAAGACCAAGGAAGAGCATACAGTCACGCAGCCGATCGCCGACGAATCACAAAAACACCTCGCTGCAGCTGTCCCAGGTAGATTCTCATCTTTGTGCTGTCACTGGTTTTCCTCACCCAGATCTGCATAAAAGAAAAAAAAGAAAAGGGTAAGGAAGTATATTGGGGAGAAAAAAGGAAAACCCATAGGAAGTGATACACAGACAAATAAGTACAGGTATTCTTATTGCCAGATCTGAACATCTCTTAGGCAGGGTGCACAGATGATTGACCCTAAGCCCTTCTCCCTCCCACATGAGACATTTGCAACCTGAGTAAAAAACCCAAATAAAGTTTCTAACTTTACCACCTTAACTTCCTGCTCAAAACATTCATCAAGAAAACTTACTCTTTCCTAGCATCATCAGGAAAGCAAGTTTCCTTCTGCTACAGCTCACAACCGAACTCTGGCATTCAGCTTTACCTAATCAAGAATAAGTCTCTTTAGATCCACAGATCATAAAATTACCTACCCTGGGATTTACCCCGACAAGTAACTATTAGTCAAATGAAAAGCTTATTCTGATTTTGTTCAGTGAAGCATTTCTCACCATGTGTTACATAAATTGTACCTGCAGATAAAAGGGCCTGTTTTTTAAACACCTGCATGGAAGAATTCAGATAACTTCTCAATATACAGTACGTTTCAAAGGACAAACTGCTTCCATGGAGGAAGCCACTCAGAATGTTTAAAAAATAAAAATCACTTTCAAGAAGTTTACATCCAAATACTTGTACTTTAAAAAATCAAAGCTGAGAAAAACTCCTCTGCATTTTATCCTTCTAATGCATTTAAACATATTTAAATAAATGCATGGCAGGTAAGAGTTATCCAGCTCTTAGTACTAGAGTATTTTAGGACAGAAGTCCAACACTGCCTACTGCAAAGGACCATAAAGTTAGTGCTGACATGCAATTTACCCAAAACGTTTTTATTAGTTATCATATTAGCTCCAGGCCTGGCATGGTAGATTGATTTAACTCTATTATTTTAATTATAAATTGACTTTACTAGCAGAAGCCCTCAATACAAAATAAATTTAATATATGCCTGCATTTGTGCTTCAGTTATTTCTCTAGAGAAATTAGAATCCATCTTCATTGATAATCATCTCTCCACTGCAACATTTCCAAGAATTTGGCATGTTTTACTAAGCAAAAGGATTCTTAAACCTACAAACTCTGAGCAACTGTACAGAACAAACATGTACAGTTTTACATTCTATCACGGTATGATGGCACTGTATATTAGCTTTGCTAATTGCTTTGTTAAATTCCATTTGGAGGAAAATTAAAATTCAGCTATAAGTGACCACATCAGTGAAATTATTTAACACTAGAATGTTCCACATTGTTCAGAAACATAAAAGCATCAAGACACAGTCTGAACTTAAAACTGATGTGTTAGACATACAACGTATTTTGCAATCAGAAGATAACAACTATTAATTCTAAAGAACTGAAGGAGATGGTGAATAGAAACAACCAAATCCATCTCTGAATTTCTTTTAATTCCTAGACTGGAAAAGAAAAATAAGCTTCCTCCTTTTTTTCAACTTCCAATAAAATGAAATTGCTAAATAAACTTATGGGAATAAAAAAAGCTTTCCTGCACATACTGAAGAGTTTATTGTTGTCAAAAGGCAAATGAATGAATTAGTTCCATGCACTTGGCCAGTGATTTCCACCAATGCAATATCTGATTCACAGTTTCCAAGGGAATCACATTCAAAGCAAAAGAAATATATTCTGGTTAGATTTAAACACGCTATCAAGTTTTAAAGAATCTGGGCCCAGGAAGATATTTCTGGTTTGTCTGGGGTTTTTTTTTATGGGGGATCATCGTAGCTCAGACTTTGTGTTGGAGAGTTCCATAGCCAATTACAAAATTCAAATCCAGTTTAAGCAAACTTATTTAGACCTTCAAATGAACAAAGATGCCTCTGCTACATGGTTAACTACTTCCTTTCCCCAGCTACAAGGCAGCAACTGTATCCCATAATATCTCTGATGTTTCTTAGTTAAGTCTTTTCACCCTGAGCATTAATGGAAATGCTGGTGAGGAGACACGCTGTGCAAAAATTTTGGGTTAAGTTCTTTTGAATAACTTGACTTCCTTTAGAAATGCTATCAACTTTTGATTCCAGTCTATAATTAGAGACCTCAAATCTAGGTTTACCTTCTAGCTTCTAAATTCAAGCAGGACCCAATAAAACCATAGTTTGGCAGCCACGCTTTTGAATGTGTGATAAAATCTGAGATGTGCACACTGTACTCCTTGGCTTTATACTGTTGCAACAAACCATCACAGGGCAAACAACTGCCACGCCTCCTCCCCACTCTCTCTCAAAAAACCCCATAAAACTAAAATGAAACCTATCGTCTCACTTTAAAGTGGAATTCATACAATTATAATTAAAGGATTGCATTTCCTTCAGGTTTCAGGTAAGATGCTCCCAAAAGATTAAGTTTTAATGTTTTAAGTTAACAGTAATAACTTCAATGGAATTAGCAGTACTTTATTTTTAACACATCCGTTAGCACACTACTACTACTTTATCTAAATCACCAAGCTTCGACGGTAGCAACTGTTATTGCAAGGGAAACAGTTGTGATACAAAGCACATCCCATATGCAACTCATTTTGTTGAAAATAAAATATTTTCCCTTAGCTGCCAAAACAAATTAAAGTGACTTTATTGGCTGATTGAAGAGAAGTGCATTCAAGTCTATCGTTTCTTTCCTCCAAGCAAAGACTAAACTGCTCCCTCTGCCCAACTGATGCACTTGCTCCAGCACTAAGCTTATTTTGCAGCAAGATTCACATCAATCTTAGGCAGGCACCTCTCTTCACCTGCTTCTCTCAGCCTTAATCATTAGCCACAAGGAAACTGTCTCAGACAAATGACTTACCTGCCCTGTCTCCCCAAGTAGGTGATGAATGCTGCCAGCTTATTTCACAACACGTACTCAGGTTAGCAGGAAGAACTTTCTCCCCTAATAACAACTAAATTTAGTGACAAAACTTTTCCTCACCCTCTTCTGGATTCCCAATGGGATGTTTTTTGGTTTGGTGTGGGGGGTTTTTTTGTTTATTTATTTATGTAATTGGCATTAATAATAACTGTAAGTATGTTTTAGTAATAATGGAATTTATGCATGTAGTGCTGGTGAGATGCAACATGTCAGTTCTCTCCATTTTTCCTGCCTGACAAACTGCTACCTGCAAAATGTAGGATCATTCTTTAGAAACACAGCAAGTCTCTTCCCATCTCAAGAAGATGATCTCTCAACTCAGTTTTATCTTGGATTCAGCTTCTTTAGACACCAGACAACTACATCTTTTCCAAAAGTAATATTGATTTCTTTTTCTCAGTCATCCACCTGCCTGTGCTAACCCCACAGCTTTCCCCACTCCCATGAAAAACAAAGCAGCCCACTACCTCGTTGGCACCCACAGAACTGATCACACAGCTGATCTTAGTGTTCTCTTTAGACTCCAGGTAAATAGCCTGGCTCTTGTGGTACCTGCAAAAATAATAATAATAAATAAATAAATAAAAAAGGAACATGAAACCATTAACTGTCCAAAGACTGAGAAAAGAAACAGTAATAAGATTGATAGAGCTAGGATTCAACAAGCATTTGGATAGAGTAAATATGAAGTCTGTCTTTCTTTCCACACCACTTTCCCCATCTTCATCAACATAGCGGGTGGTCTGATTCTACACACACACACTTTGCATTTAAATGATGCTTCAGAATGCATGAAGCTCTCTCAATTCACATTCAATTCTGCATGACAATTACTGAAAACAGATTTCACCTCTGAAAGAGGGAGGGGCGGAGCACCAAGCCACGAGATGGGAGAACACTGGCTGACAATAAGCCTGTGTTTCAAGAGTTAATCAAATTGGCCTTTCACATTTCGGACACAGGATGGATTTTAGAAGGCAACTCTCAATTATGCCTGATAAAATGTGACAGGGCAAAACACAGATACTAAAGAGTTATTCACATTCCCCAATGCAAAATTACTAGTGCAACACCACAGTGAACTGTACTCAATGAGTGCAGCCTATGAATTGCATAAAAAGACACCTCAAATTTCTAATACTGTCTTATTTTGTGAAAATACCCAAAATGGTAAGTGACAGGTAACTGACTCTATAAGCAGACATGTACACCTGCCATAAGGAGGCTGTGTCTAAGCACATCCTTTTTTTTACCCCTTTAAAATAATATTTTAGGCATGCTATATATTTTTCTTACTGCATTTTGTATAAAACAAAGTAAAAATTTCAAAATTCCAAACTCTGAATTGCTTGATTTCATGGTCTTGTCTTCTGTGCAGACCATGTTCCTGGTAAGTGCTGCAAAGCACGCTGGACAAAACTCCCCCGTTTCTGTTTACTCTGCCTAGGAAAGTTCCACAGGCAGAACTAATTATAACAAAACAGATTATTTTTAAGTAAATATTCTTAATCAAGAGAGCACCAAAATACTTTATAATTATAAAAGCATAAATATATTTCTACTTTTACCCTAATCATGATGTGCTTCATATCTAACTGGGCAATCCAAGTTGCAGAATCACTGCACAGAGATTCCCTGAGCAGCTACTAAATATGCAGCTCCCTGCAGTCTGATTGGCTGACAGCTATTTGTCAAAATGCATGGATTTGCATAGTTTTTACAGTTATTTCTACAATAACCACACTGCAAATACAGAAGTCTTTCAATAGTTTATTCCATAATCTCTTCCTTCTGGCTCATGTATTCAAAATGTTCACACTGCTTTTCAGTAACAGCAGTGGCAGCTTTCAGCCTTCCCAACACACTAATTACCAGTGGGCTGGGCGAGGTAATTAAAAAAATACCCTCAAACCTTTCAACTTTTAGACACTTGTGCCCAACCATTATTCTTTCTCCCTCATTTTAAGAGAAAATAATGTCAGTAGGTTCCAGGGCAATGCAAGAACAATGATCTGAACCAAAAATCTCAGTTTACTGAGCCCAGATGTCATTAAATGATAGAAAGGAACAACATAAGCTACTACAAAAACCAGACCTCACTGAGATAAAACATCAAAATCTCGGTCCAGCAGTGTCCTACCATGTCACACTGAGTGCTTAAGCAAGGAGAATTGATGATCTTGATACAATCAGGGCACAAGCTTCCGAGCGCAGAAGATACCAGTGCAGATGTTAACTCTCAAGTGATATCTGTGCCTGCACAGATAATGAAATTATTTTTCCACTCAAAGGTGTTTCTTCCCAATTTCTGATTATCAGTGAATTCCAAAGCTAATGACACACATGAAGCTGGCTTCAGCCCCTGGATTTCACATCACCAGTTAGTGTCCCTCAGTAAATCTATGTTAACTGTGCCCAGAAAAGGCAAGGTAACAAGTTAGCTCAGCACTTTTTCATGGAAGAGTTGTCTGAACTGTCTCATGCTTTGTGCACACAGAGAGACAAGTCAGCTGAAGGCAGAGTAGCCTGGTACATCTCAGCTACACGTTCGTGTGTCAGCCTTTTGCCAAGTTTATATACCCCCAGGGGAACAGAGGTGTAGAACTGAGGAAAATACTTCAGATGAAAAAAGCAATGGAATTTAAGATGGCTTTCAAGAGAAGGAAAGTGCCAAACAGCTCTTGCTTTTGCAGTAGATAAATATAGCACAATACTGACAAGTGAGGCAAGCAGAAATAATTCCACTTCCCACTGTAAAATATTCTGCTGAAAGCCCAAGATTTTCAACTGTATCTCCATCAGAAGATGGAAAGAAATCAGTGTGCATTACTGTATGCAGACAAAGCTAAAAGCAAAAAGATGGTTTTACAGTGAACTGTGTTTTAGGATCTGACGGGGGGCATGAAGCAAATTGACTGAGGATAAAAAACTGAAGTCTAATTCTACATCCATCTGAAACTCCCTATATAAAGTCTCCACTTTGGAGATATGTTTGTGAAATGTCTCTGCAAGACCTCAGGGAGTCCATTACTAGCCTTAAACATTCACTATTGTGGATAATGGTCCTTCACTGCTGCTGTCAGGAAACAGAGAAAGCACTCACTCCTGAGCTGTCAGTTTTATTATTTCTGGTGCATGGCAGCAACTACAGGCTTAAAACACCTTAGAAAAAATTACCCTCCCACTATCAAGAGTTACTTAATTATTTTAAAATATCAGCTACTTTGCACAAGTACTATTACTATCAATCAAAAAAATCTTTATGAGATACTTATCTTAAAACACCGTAAGAACAAGGAGGGTAGGAAAGACAACAGCTGGAATTGCTGACAGTGAGACCCCCACGACAAGGGAATTCAGCAAGATGAAAGTATCTGTTAGTGTTTTATAGCCCAACTAGATTCCTTTCAGAGACAGCTTGTGCTTTTGAGAGACTCATCTGGGCTCGTGGAAGCTCTCCCGGGTTTAAATTTGGTGGGAGCTTTGGAGTTTTACTGACAGATCACTTCAGATTCCATTTTTATTTTTTTTTCCTTATGCAACACTTTTCAGTACTCCACATGCTTAAAAATTCTGAAGAACGGTTTATTCATCCAAATATATCCCAGAGGATAGTCACTTTCCACAAAAAAAATATGAAAGCAAAAAGAACTTCATGAATTTGAGAAATAGTATCCTGCTTGTTCAGTTCACGTCTGCTTTACGCTTCACAGACGTTTAAGCTCCAGGCAGCAGCTTTTATCAGAGTTGTATACACTGAACCCTTGATTAAACTTCACTGTCAGAACACCAGCAGAAGGAAAACCTGACCAACTGTACAAGATGGCTGTTGTGTAGAAAACAAGCTTCACGTCTATCATTTCCGTGATAAAATTACAACCTCATCACTTGTTATTTTGAGCCACTAGAACACCAAAGCAGACTACAAACAAGCATATGACTTGCAAATCGCTTTCTGCTCAAGAAGTACTAGATTGTCCCCTTGATTATCCAGTTTTGCACGTCTCATGGATTAAGTTTAAGACCTTCTAAGATTTCCCTGCAAAATTTAATATTTTCCTGGTGTTCTGTGAGGCTTGCACAGCTATATGCCCATAAAACTTAACAGAGCTAAATCAAATCAGCAATTCTGAAGTTGCTTCTCCCGTGTGGCTTTGATCTTTAAAGGTTATTTGGATTTGTTATTAGAAACATTTTTCATTCTCCTCATCTGGTGCACAACTTTTCATCTGCCACCTTGTGGAATGATGGGCTAGTGTTCTACAAAACTAAACACCAGGACTCGAATACTGCCACTGAATGCTGCCAACACCACTGTACCTGCAGTCAGAGGATCTGTACAACAGCTGACTGGCTTCAGCTACGTCACACTGCATCTGCTGGCAGAATTCTTACTCAACATTAGGTTTGACAAAAATGTTTCCCAAGTGTATACAGAGCGTGCAAAACTGACTCCACAGAAAAGATTTAAGTCTCCTTTTATTTGAACCCATCTAAGAAAGTCCATGAAGTCTAAACACTCCATTATCACATCTGATTTACCAAAGTCACAATGATTAGCCCTCAGAGGAACTAGCTAATCTCTGCCCAAAACCATTGTGTCCTCAGATTCTTTCATCAAAGCAACTTCTCTCTGCAGTCTTTGTTTTTTCACTACACAAGGTTCAGGCTGATTAAAACAGAAATTTACCAGGACTTACCATCTCTTATCATAGTAGAGTTTTCCATCTTCTATTCGGGCTTCAAATCGCTGTGCTGGAGACTCTGCTGGTGTGGCTGGGAGGTGTTCGGGAGAGGAGGGAGAGGCTGAGAACAGGAGAGAGATTGTGTTTAAAGGCTGGCATGTGTTCAGCACACAACAGCATAACTGACTGCAGATTTACATTTAATAATGTCATACTTAGCAGAAAAACATGCACAGAAATCTACAAGCTCAAATTCACATTGGAAAAATACTTAGGCAAATTCTGTCTCAAAATAAAGTGCACAGACACGTCTGGAGAGCTAGAAGCATAAAACTCTAAGTTCTTAATCCCTTTCACTACCTGACAAGCAGGCAAGCTGCCCAGATGCATCTGAATATAATGTAAAAAAAAAAAAAAAATCTTTTTACATAACTAGATTGTCCCATGCCCAAATGTTTCAGCCAAAGATGCATATGCCTCCCTTCCCACCCCTGACAAATTTCAGAACAGATGAAGAGACTCCACACAACACCCATTTGCCACAGTAGCTACACAAAGAGCAGCAATTACACAGACAAAACAATTATACAGTCAAATTACACAGTCAGCAATTATACAGTCAAAAAGTCTGCAATGCAATTCCCTATAAAACCAGCATGACTGTGAACAAGTTCCAATGCAAATGTTAACTCACCTGGTCTCTTGGGTGATTTAAGCTACATGGGAAGAAAGCAAAGAAGCATTAGAGATCTGACACAAGCCATAGAAATTTGCAGTAATAATTTTGGATAGCCTTACTTTCCATACTCTAAATGGTTCTTTTTTAAAATGTACTGTTAAGTGGCATCACACATAACCAGAACAGCATGCTATAAGCAGCTGAAGGTACAAATAATCAGTATCATGACATAAAAGATCTACAAAATGAACTTCAGAGCATCCCAGATAATCACTAAAACAAATCAAAACCAAACCCATCTAACAACCTATATTTTTTTTAAACACAATCCAACATTTCTCAGGGTACACAAAATACAGGAGATAAATCATTAGAGACACCTCAACAGCTGGCACAAAAAGCATGCTCCACCACCATCCTCAAAAGCCTTAATGAGCAGCCTCTATTATATGAAATTAGATAAACCTTAAAGTGTCTAGCAAAAAAGCAATAAGGTAATCAAATCTAAAAAAAACCCCAACTATACACACACACTGCACTCTATCCAGTTTGCTGAAGTGTTGCAACAGTGGGGAGGAAAAATTAAAAAAAAAAAGGTTAAAATCACCACCCCACACTAAGGCCTAAAACAGAGGCAGCCTGTGATCTCACAGAAAGACGTGTTAACATCTGCTCAGCACTGCGGAGGAAGAGAGAAGTGTCTTAAGATAGCTCATCACTTGGTTCAGACAAAAGGTAGCATTTTTAGATGACAAGTCACTTTAATTAGGTTAATTAAGCTTATTAAAATAAATGGGAGGAGATATCATCTTGCTAAATCTTTTATTGTGTTACTTCAGAAAGCCTACTGGGATGAAACGGTCCCTCATCTCCAAGAGGAACATAAAACAGAGAGCTCTCCTCTCTTCAAGGGAAAGCATTAGCTTCCTCTTTAAAACAAAGAAACACAAACCAAGCCATAATCCCCACCTTATTCAGTGTTCTCAGGTCCTCCATTATTTGCTCATCAGTCAACAAATAATTTAGCTGAGGTATCCAGAATTAAGGTTCCCATAAGCTCTTGACAATCCAGGCTAAAAATTAAAGGTCAATGACATTTCACTTGACTAAACATAAGCTAAAAGGTTTCTGTAAAGTTGCATAAGATTTTTAAAAGTGTCATACTTGAGGTTTTTTTGTCATATGAATGAATCAAGTCCATCTCCACAGAGCCTCATATTTATTAGCAGCAGAGTGCAAAATCATTTTAACTTATTCAGATATAACCACCAATGAAAAAACCTTTAGTGCATTGACATTTATTTCGTGGAGGCACCAAGCACAAGTGTTTTCAGTGTTTTTCATCTTGCATTTCTTAGGGAATAATCTGGGAGCTGAAACACAACGGACTCGCTTTAGATTTTGGATAATGAGGAAATCTAGGAAATGTGGGAAAACAAACTCATTAGTTTGCAACTCAGTAAACAGGAATAAAGAGATAGGGAGAAGAGGGGAAAGCCCCACCAAAAAAAACCCCAAGAAAATAAAGCCAGAGGCACAAAACATCCTTCTGTGGATGAGGATAAATAAGAGCCTACCATTCACCTGAAAAAAACAAAATCTCAGAACACAGAAGTTACTGTTTTGTACCCTTATTAGAGCTCTGCTGCCATTTTGTGTAGTTTCATAATTGCATCTTCCTACTTCCCTCTCCTACTGCTCCTCTGTCATATCCACACAAGAAAAACCTGAGTACACAGAAGGAAAGCAATACCTAAAGCATTTGACCCTCTCTCCAGCTTTAACCTACAATGTTTCTTCAAAACAGCTGTTAATTCAAAACTATTTGAAGTATCAAACTAAAGGTAACAACTGCTAGGCTGCATTTTAAGGATTTTGGTTCCAATGGACTTTAATCCTCTCCTCAGTGAGGAAAGGCAGATAAGAGCTTCATACTGTGGCTGCCGTATCATGCTCAATTAGTATGTCATGTTCACTACAAAACTCATTTATTTTGGATAAGATAGGGGCAATAATAAATAGATTTTTTTTTTTCCTGAAAGAGTGAACAGAATCTCCAACCAGAAAGAGGTTAATTAAAACTGGAGATGCTTGTGACCATCCTGCATGAACTCTAAAGTTCAAAGTTTGATATTGCCTTCAGAAAACGTGAGTCACTCACAAGTCATAAGATAACTTTTTAAAATCTGATTTAAGTCATACATGTTTGGAATCTAACAATAAGCCTCTGCAAAGCAAGTACCATTGCTTTCCTTTCCATGTGAATTTAAAATACAAATAAGTGCCTATCCTCACAGAGGGCTAAAAACATATTTCCAGAAGCCAAGGAACATTTTAATTGGAAGAAACATGCAACAAAGCAGAAGAGAAGGACTAACTATACATCTTTTTTTTCTCTCTCATGATATATAAAAACAAGATGGATTTTCATCTTTTTTTATTCAAAGAACAAGTCTAGCACTTCTTGCTTTTGCTCTGCATTAGAGATCTGAAGCCTTTATCAGAAATGGAAAAAAATAGCTTGATATGACAAATATGATCTTTCTGGCAAACGTTTTGTCACATCTTGAAATGAAAAAAGCTTTGGCTCATGTAAAAAGCCATTTACTATCTATGGAATCAATTACCTCAGCATTTATATATGATGTTCTTTAAAAGTTTTTCCTCTGGGAAAAAAAAATTATATTGCCTGAAGAATTGAAACTATTCTCACTGAAAAAATATCAAATAAGTTATCTCAACACCGTGAAGTTTAAGTCAGGATATCGAGGGATCTCCACAGACTGGTTGTGTTGTATTAGTTTATCACACCTGATACATAACAAATTGTGCTTCAGTATTTCCGAGATGAAAATCTGATCCTAGCACCTCATTTCATTTTCCTTCCTGTACAAAACAGCACAGAGGCAGGTAGCATGTCAGCTCCAAACACAACAGCCCCCCAAGAACTCTGTAAAAGGATATCAGGGGCAGGTTTCCTCCTCTTGTCTGGGATAGGAACTGGATCGTTTGGTCGTCGCCTCAGTTTCCTTGTCATAATAGGCTTCACTTCCATTGAATCTGTAGAGCAAAGAAGTTAGAAAGCTGATAAGACCAGAGGGAGAGGAGTAAGAAGCAGCAGCTTTCTACACAGGGCACAAGGAAAAATAATCTTTCCTTTTTAATATAGAAAATTGGATTTTTTTTTTTTGGTGATAGCTTCCAGCATCCAAGCTGGAACTGCTGACAGTGAATACAAGTTCTCTTTCATACCAGGTCACTGTTCAGTAACAGCGTTGTGATACCATGGTTACAGCTTGGAAGTGGCACAATTGGTTTGGGGGCATTTTACAGCTTTCTTCAGGTACAGATAACAAGCACAATGCTGCTATAAGGATTCGGGGTGAATTTCTTTAATGCTATCTGCTTCTGAACAGATCATTTAAAAGGCAAAGTTCATGGAACTCTCTGCTAACAAAACTTGGATAGTTAACAGCATGTAAAACATCAGCTACAAATCAATTGCTCTCTTTTTCTTGTCTTCAAGCTAGAAAAACAGCTTTGTCAAAGGAATACAGATAATTACTGCATTCAAGACTGGAGTAATTTCAAGCACAAATAGTATTTAAATTCAGATTACCTAAAAATGGTTCAAATTATGATTAATGAAATGAACCTAATTAATTACATGCAGAGCAGTAGCTGACAGGACATAAACTGTAGCATATGCACTGGGGAAGAAGAAAAAAGTCTATTTAAAATTGAAACACAAGTCTCATCAGCTAGTAATTATCTGAAATTACAGTCTGTCCAAATGTCTACAGGTAGTCTTAACTCAAACTCTCACAAATCATTCCTTAGCTTATGAAGATATCCTGAACTGGCAAGCAAAAGATCACATCTTAAATGCTAAACACCGTATCTCACCTCTCCTTCTACGTGCTGAGAATTATTTGTTCATCTTTTAAGTACACCCGAATCACATCCCAGGTAGCCCTTAAGTCTACAAAGCCTCTTCAGCTTCCTCTAGATGCTAAAACCTCGAGCAGCCATGCATGTTTAAAATACACCAAATTACTTTTCTCCTTATCTCAAGAGTGGATAAGGATGACTGCGCTGCACATCAAGGGAAGAAATATTATGAAAAAAAACTTTAAAGAAAGAAAAAAAGAATTGCCACCCACCGAGCATGTGCCAAAGGAAACCTTATCTCTAGGATTCAAAGCTGAATTTGAAGAACACTGAACAGTAATAGCCTGGGAGACACTAAAAGCATAACTTACTGTGTTGAATATAAGCCATTCTTCTCATTTGTTAAGAGTGATTTATTTACAAGAGCCTCAGAAGAGGGGTTGGAAGCACTTGAGGTGAGATGCAGCCAAGTCGAGAAGGCTTTTTCTCCTTTTAAAAATTAAGTTTCAAATGACTTGTCACAGAGCTGTTATCTATACTGCTTAAAATGTGAATAAGGCAGAGAGGTCAATTTTCTTCTCTCTTTATCTTAGCATCCTGTATCTTAAAATTGTGACAAGTCAGCTGAAAGTCAGCATCAAACAAGTTTTCAGAAAAAAAAAAAAAAACAGAGTTTGAGAGTCTCACATTTACTGTGAAACATTTGAAGAACTTTGAGATTCTCGAAAGATTCATAAAAACTTTATAAAGGAAGTTTTGAAGAGCTGCTAAAGCATCAACAGACTTAACCTGAAAGTCTTGCATGAGGCTTAATAGTTAAGAAGCTCCAAAAGAGGAGCCAATGATTACAACCTAATGAAACTGCAATGCTCCCAACACTCACAGACAAGCCTGTTCATCAGGTTGCTAATTTGCATCCTTGGTTTTAAAAACCATCGAGCCCACATCCATGCCAGTATTACTATTTCTTAGCCTTCAGTGCAAGCACACAAAAAAATCTGTTACTTCTAAAGAATCATAGAATGGTTTGGATTGGAAGGGACCTTAAAG